GAACAGCATGATTAAGTCATCTGAATGGCAAAACAACTTTTCATTGATCATCAGTGTTGCTCCGACAAACACATACGATTGAATGGGTTCTCACATGGATCGCTTGAACGGGTTAGCTGCAGTTAAAAGTGACAGCTAACATCAGCGGGAATGGACTCTTCACCGACTGTCTCAAACAGAAGGGTTTCCATCATCGACCAACAAGTAACGAAGAGAATACCACGAACATTCTAAACCAGTGCTCAAACGTGCTCCTGTCGTAGGATTACTATTTGCGCTAATTGCGGAAATTTTCCANCCAACCACCAAAGTTGCTTGAGAGGAAGTTAGTTGTCCACGGACACAACTGAGGGCGAAATGGCAATCGCCATTGAGTGATCGGTTATTCGGCGTGAGCAATATATCTGTAAATAGCGCATCAGTTAGCAGTACAAGTACTTGACATGGATTTCGCGAACTACAAGAAAATTCGATGGTTAAGCTTATGAATAATCTGAAATTGTATAATGCACTAAAATTCTGATAAAACTGCCAGCTTCTGATTACGTTCATTCTTCTTTCTCCAGGTTAACAAAACTGCCGAGGAGCAGGAAAGAAATCAACGTGCTGAGGTAGGTTATTCTAAGCAAACTATCGGATGTCAGTGTGACTAATATAGGAGATTATTGAAGTAGTTCATTACATTCAAAATACATCTACCTCTCAATGATATGCATAGTTTTTGCTTAAATTTTCTTTTTATTGAAGTAGGCAACAATTTGTGCTATTATATTACTTTGCCTGTAAGGTAAAATGTATTACTCGAGGTCCTCAGGAAGCGTCAGTCCGAATTGCACTTGTATTCAGCTAGTTTCCAAACACTGAGACGCAGTAAGAAGGTAACCAATTCAGCAGTTAGTTTATAGGAAGAAAAGCTCACTGATCAGGAAAACTATAGGCGATGTGGTTTGAGGTTCTTCCAGTCATAATACTCTTGAAGAAGACAATACGAAGCTAATTGTTGCGAAATGATGGTTTGTTGTTGTTTACCATTTAATTGTAGCACATAGCTCTCTGAGTGGCCTTATCTCGCATCACTGGATCCTCGCATAAAGACAAATTTAAAAAAACAATTAGAATCAGGCTGTTTAATTCCCCCTCTGCTCACTATGCAACCGGAAGCATTTCGTCCACGCAATCTCTACCATGAGCAGTTGCCCAGCTATCACTCGATTCGAGCGTGATAACTGGAAGAACGTACCAAACCGGAGAGGAGCTCAATCAAGATGTTGACTCAAATAGGACCGTTTTCTAAGTAGTGTGATACGATACACTTGTAGTGTGCCTGCGACTAGATCAAACATTATTGTTCGGTCTAAAAACATAATTTAAAAAAGGCCAGTTGATGAAGTAGCTTGGTTTGTCTATCGGATTTTATTTTTGTCGTCATAATGAGCGTTTTCCATAAGAAAAAATCCTCTGGGGATGATCAATGATACATCATCTTGGGACAGGGATCAACGGAAGGTAAAATTGGGAACAATTAGGAATGACATTTTCAATTGAACGCCACTCGTTTTTAAACCTTTCATGATCCCTTATCCGATCACATTGGGTACGGTACTACGGACAGCCTTATGCAACTGCTGTAAATCTTTGAAAAACACCCATATTTTAGGTACCTTCAGTTTCTGTTTGTGTGTTGGTTTTGTTGCTCTATTTCTGCTACCCACTTGGTTGACCAATAGGGAAAGATGTAAAAGTCGAAAGTAGTACTAAGGTAAAAGTATCGAAGGCAAGCGCACGTAATGTGGATAGATGGTGAGTAGGCGCACGGGTGCCTCTGTGTACCTCCCTGAAACGTATCACCCAGAGTCTCTAGCCATCAGTTGAGCTGATCTGAAGGTCCTTGTCTAGTAAAACCAACGTAAGCTACGTGGCGAATTGGCCTGATCCATTTCACGTAGTTTGAAATAAGCCTCCCATTAAATTAGGTTTATTCTCTACATCTACAGAGATGGAGACAACTTGCTTAATGCAATCATTTCGACTGAGATTTCTGATACGCACGATTGTTATTTGAACTGTTTTTTTTTCTTGGTAGCCCCATACAAGCATGATCGAGTTGTACCTACGAACTGTCATTTCGCACAAAATTCATCTCAAATAGTGTTGATACCGTGTGAATTTCATTACTTCTGTGTTTGCAAATAAAAAGTCAGTTCATAACCGCATTACTGATGTTTTCTTTAGTTTCAGAGTTTAGAATAAACTTATGATCATTATTATCTTTCCGTACCATCCTGCTCTGTTAACACTTTTCGGAACAGTGGTCGTTGTTTTTATGGCTCGCCCGAAGTGGCCTATTTTCTTTGCAACCTTAAAGGGAATGTCAAACAGTGAGACCAATAAAAGCAGAACAACGACAACAACAAACAGATACTGGTGCCCTAAAAAGCCGCGCGAAGTAATTAAGCATTGATCTATATGAACCGATGCGTGAACGTACCAAGTCAAGTCAAGAAATGGCCTTATACACCTCGAGAGGTGGATATTCAGCAACCACATAACCACAGTGTGTCAACAAAAAGTGAAAAAAAACAATAAAATACAGCAATTAAAGGAAGTGAAAAAGGACAGCAACATCAGAAACCAATGGCATACCCGGGTGTTTATGTTTAATTCAGTTTAGCGTTTTGTGCAGATTTCTTGTAACGAGTTCATGATTTGTTAGAAATCTGGCGAGATACAGTACAATAGAGCGTCTGTATGCCTCAATGCGTAACTTTATACAAGTTTGTGAGTGAAACGGATGGATGAGTGAGAAAGGCACTGAATAATGGCGGAATAAAGAGGATGGAAAATATCAGATAAAATCTTGTTGAAGAATGTTTTACAGGACTTGAGGTGGTGTGTCGCCGCATACTGCACCAGATTTTCCCGTGGTATGAGACTACAAACTGACATAAATTTTAGGGATCGGGATATGAGTTTGAGGTCCTTGTTAAAAAGACCAGGGAAGATAACAGGAACCTATAAAGCCAGTGGGACAAACGCACGCAAAAACAAAATGCCTTATGAGATGGTTTGGGATGGAAAGTGATTTAACACGTAAAACATAAAACATAAGCCTCCTGAACTTCAGAAAAACATCATTGACGTGGTCAAACCAGGTGAGATTGCGGTTGAAAATAACGCCCAGGTATTTGACAGACGGTTGTCGTTCCATCTGGTCACTGAGGATAGATAAAGGCGGGCTGGTATTTGATAATTCATCATACTTTTGCCCTTTCAAAAAGGAAAATATTACCTCATTACATTTTTGGGGGTTCGTGCGGAGGTTCCTTTGTTGAGACCACTCAACAATTACCGACATGTCTTCTTGTAGAGTGGTTTGAAATGATGAGTTGGGGTACGGTAGTCCGACTATTATATCGTCTGCATACTTAACGAGAAGAGAAGAATCGCTCACAGGCATAGAGGAAATGTAAGCATAAAATAGAAAAGGGAATAAAATAGGGCCTTGCAGTACACCTTGCATGAAGGGTAGCAATGAAGATGCATGACCTTTGTAACGTGTGAACCGCCGATGGTTGGATAAATATTTAGCAAAGAGTTGAATCATAGAACGTTGAACTCCGCCCGAAGAGAGGGTATTTAACAAAGGTTATCGATCAATTATGTTAAAAGCATCACTATAGTCAAGAAAACATGCGTACAGCCTTGCTTTTCTTATCCGGGTTGCATAAAACAAAGTGGGACAGATAAGCAAGGGCATCCGAGGTACCGCGGGAATGGGTGTATGCAAACTGGTTCGGGTCGACAACATTGAATTGTGCGAACAGGGTTTTAAGGAGGAGCTTTCAAACACCTTCATGACAACTGAGAGGCAGGCAATGGGACGGAATTTTGAGGATCCTTTCTTCGGTAATTAGGTGATTGAGGATATTCTCCAGTAGCCGGGAATACGTTGCTGCGAAATTTAATCATTGAGAAGTTCAATCAGCACATGGGAAAGGAAGACAGCACATTATTTCAGGACAGCGGGTGAGATTCCAGCGGGCCGCAGGATTTGTGGGGAGTTAATCGAGCCAACTCTTGATAAATAACGACAGGTGCAACGCTGGAGACAGGATCAGTGGTGTTTATTTCATATTCATTAAGTAGAGCAGTGAGAGCGGTTCCACCGTTGATGAAGCTCTAATTCAGACCATCTGTGTCCACCGCAGCAGGTGAGCGGTGTGAGGATTCGGTGCCAGAAATCCGCATGAGGGCTTGCCAGGTCTCACGACCACCTTTGTTGTCAAGCCGAGCACGGGCGTATAAAAAGTTTAACCTTCGAAGTTCACCCCGGATGGATTTAGAAAAGGAGCGCACATCCTCGCGCTTATGCAACGAACATGTTAACAAAGTTTGAGTAGGTTATTAATTGATCACGGAAAACTGAAGGATTGGGATCAGAAAACAATGTAAGGTCGGAGTGTCTGATCATTTCCCTTAACATAGTGAGTTTTTCTGGAGAACGCTGTCTTACATGAAGCTTGTGATCACGACATCGAGTAAAGAGACGATGGTTCGTTCTGCCAAAGATTGTAGAGGAAAACTTCAGCATAGAATGATCAGACAAAAGAAAGAAATTAGGAAGATTGATAAAACCCAAATTCAGATGTGCATCAAGCCCAGTGGGAAAGGTAATAATGTTTGAAGACTCAAGTTAGTTAAGAAACGGGTGTCGGAATTATTGAAGTCACCACAAATGATACGGGTTGAAGTATCTACATAATCAATCAGTGTAGTTGAAAGTCATAAAAATCAATAAGAACATTGCATGACCAAGAGGGGGCTATATACACATTTACAGAGAAAAGCTTCAATGTTTGGGCTTACATTGCATTGCTGATGCGTTTGTATAACGTGTGGAATAAAAAATACGTTTTTGGTCAGATGACACCACCACCCCGTCGGAAATAAGGAAAAGGACGATCGACACGATAGATTGCGAATCTATCCAGGTATACTATTTAATCCTCAATTTCATTATGGAGCCAACTTTCTTGGAGCATGATCACACCTAGTTGGGCATATTCCCGTAGGCTGACTAAGCTGGTGAGATCGGCCATATTTCCGATAAGAGATAGGACGTAAGAACTGAGAATGATGGGAACACACAAGAGGGAGATAGTTTGTTTCCGAAGAGCAACTTTCCAACTGGCTTGATGCTCCCTCGGATTTTTCGAAAGCTTCCTGAACGTCCTTTTGGTTTTATTCCTTATAGTCCGCCAAAACAAGTCGTAGCAACACATTTGGTCCGTTTGATTGAATGCATGCAATCCCGGGTGTATTTGATCAAATTTGTGATTACTGTAGTAACACAACAGTCGTCTTGACAACCAAGGTAAACGTTCATGTTAATGATGCAAGAAAGCTCAGACACAGTTACGGTTATACAGTGAATAATCCGATGATGGAAAAACCGATAGCGCGGCCGAAATTCGAAGGCCAAGCCATTGCATGTTCAATAATTTTTCCGTTCTGAATTACTTATACTGGAGAAAAAAATTATGAAAACCTACACAGATAGGCCTTATGAAGCAATCGACGTCTCCTGTTTTGCTCCCTTTATTAATGCCCAGCATATACTCCTTGGCTTTCTGATTAACCAGGTCATCAGTGAACTCGCTAGCCTAAATAAACCCCGATTGATTGTCAATAAAGCTGGACTCTACGTTTGGTGCTCAGTTCATGCAATAGTGAAATAATCGACTCGATAATCCCACAGTAGTGCACTTAGACAGTGAAACAAATAAATCAGTGATTCCCCGAGGAATAAATTTACAACAATCCAAGATAATTGGTGTTAATTCCTTCCCGTGTACAGCCTGGCGACAAGTGACGCGCAAATTCCGGGTTCCAATGTAATGAAAACCAAAATTGTCTCGTGATACGGTACTATTATTGCTAAATATTTATGACATGATAAATAATATGCAAACCCTTATTCGTGAGGTATCTGGATTAGGACAGTCGTCAAGGCACTTTCAGATATAAATGCATCAAATAGGAATATGAAATTGTGTGTATTGTGTATAACTTTTGCAAGCACTGGAGCTCACATTTCAGTTAAAAAGCATACACGCTAACCGTCACAATGTACATAATCAACGGAGAGAAATGTTTTCGCAGGCATGAACACATTCATAATCCAAGGTTAAGACAAAGTTCACTCATTGTTCGCTCTTTGTTTGTGAGTAGACGAGCAGGATACGGTATGGGTGAATTGCGGTATGCATTAATTCGAGATGAAATTTGACGAAATTGGGAGCGTGTTGAATGATGGGAATGACAAATTGTCAGTTCTGTATACAATGGGTGGTCCGGATCTGTGAGGATCCTCTCGGCAAATTTCACACAGGAAGTTACGTGATACTCTGAATGCTTTACAG